ACAGTTAAGAAAAATGGAGTTCAGGAAGGTTCAAGGCCCTCTGCAGAGTGGGCACGCTGTCTAGCCAGAGTCTTGTCCACTCTGTTGTCTGTTACATCAAGCTGCTTTGTTAATAAAAGTGGAAACGTGCCTGACAGAGTAACAGCTGATATTATTGAGCATTTACTACATGACAGGCAGTGCTACCTGCTTTTCACGTATGATTTAATTTAATCTAAATACAATCCTCCTTTAGAGATGAAACAATAGTCACAAGGAGATAAGAAAGTTAATGGAGAGGAAGCCGGGATTTGAACCCAGGCAGTCTGAAGCCAAAGTCCTGGATTTTTTTTTTTTTTTATAGAGGCATGTTTTTTATTTATTTATTTTATTTGTTTGTTTTGTTTATACATGCACTGGGCACAGTCAGAAGCACGGGAGGGTGAGAGAATTCACCAGAGCCAGAGCAGGGAGCAGAGCAGGCAGAATGACCGAAGCACACTGCCGAGGGGAGCAGCGGGCGGCAGGAGAGGTCTGCGCGCCATGTGGGATCCTCCTCCGGTGGCCGGGGAGCAGCCGGGGATTGAACCGGCGCCGCAGAGGCCGCGGGCAGCTTCGCAACCCAGCGCTCAACCGCTGCGCCACCGGGGAGGCCCCAAAGTCCTGGATATTAAGCACTTCCCTAGTGCTGTATTCAGTGAATACCTTTTTTAAAAAATTATTTTATTAAGTATTTTTAAAAATACAACACAGGATATTTGAGGAGTAAAGGGCTTAATGCTGATTATTCGCATGCGCTGTTCAAGTGCTTACTGGCTCGGATGCTCATCGTCACACTCCGCAAGAGCACTAAGCGCCCACTAGGAGCCACAGTGGGGTTCTAGAGCCGAGTGCCAGGAATGGTGGCCTCTGCCTGGATGGCGAGCCTCTGGGTCCTCGGCTGTGGGTGCTCAGTTCAGATGCCACCGCCTAGAGAAGACTTCCTTGGTGACTCTTTCTGCCCTATTCCAGGGCCACCATGTGCGAGCTTTTCAGCTGGCATGAAAACCCCACCAGAGCAGAGGCCTGCCTGATACATGCGTCCATTTCTTTGTCTGTTTTTCACATTTTATAAATGTTTTTACATTTTACATTTTATAAATGTAAAAACGAACAGGGCAGGGCAGGGGTCTGTTCCCTGTCATGTCACTGCTCACAGTTTCTTCAGTCACCCCAAGCTGCAGCCCTGGGCATGTCTCCATCACCCTGGGCAGGGGGCACGGGGTAGCTGCAGGGCGTGCCCTGGTGAGGATGATGGCATACTTGGTGAAGAGGCTGCAGAGAGGTCGGAGATGCAGGCACCACGGCACCCCGATGGTGAAGGATGCATCCTCGACCCAGGCATTCCTGAGGAAGGTGACCAGTCTTGTGGCCATCTTGGTCTTGGCAGCTGTGACCACACACGCCTCCTTCATTGCCTTTGTGTCCAGGCTAGAAGACTTTAGCAATGATTTCGTGAATAAAGAACACTTTCCTCTGTTCTCAGTCTCTCTCCCTCCTGCACATTGCTGGCAAAATAACTTCCACAGCAACCTTAGGCCATCTCAGTGCCCAGGACTCCTTGATGTGGCCAGGTCGTCAGCTGTCCTCTCTTCTGACTTGGCATCAAATAATTCACCCCGCCCCCCGCCTCCCCGATCTGGTCTAACCTCTTCTCCAAAACTCCAGAGAAGTGAAGTTACAAGTGTGGATGAAAATTTTAGCTCCACCGGCTACTGATCTATCAGGCTAGTGATCAGAGACAGGGCTTGTTTTCCCATCCATAAAACGGGGCGACAAGAGCACCCCAATCAAAGGGTTGTCATGAGGATAAAAGTAGTTATCCCACCAAAAGAAATGAGAGCTGCTGCCAGTGCGCAATAATAAATGTGATTTGCGCCGCCATGAGCCCTGGGCTAGGCACCTCCATCTACTCTTCTTCCCCAGACAAGCCCTGTGCTTTCATGTCCCCTGCTGTTTTTCAAGTCCCCCCGTGACTCATGATGATGGGTGTTTATTAACGTGAAGTTCCTTGGAGTAGAAATTTTATCTCCAATTCTTTATAAGGTGTGGGATATTTGATAAATATACAGGATCATTACCCAAAATAAGCCATTTTAATACTCTGTACTTACATAAGAAAGTTCAAGGTGACCCTTTAAAATTCACTTGGTTTTGCTTCTCTGTTTACTTAAATGCTGACTTCTAAGAATAAATGAAGGATCAGGACGCGTTCTCCTCCCCAATTTTGCAGGCTCTCATCTTCCACCTACTCCTTTCTCACCATCATTTACAACAATATTGCCATAAATACTGACCCCAGGGCAGTCAAAGTCATCCTTAAATACTATATAAAACTCAGGGGGTTATTACTACAGTATTACTGACAGATCTTGTCTCTGCCAGTAATTACTGGCAGGAACTTGTCCAATAACGCAGACACTTTTCTTTCCTCTCTCCCACCAGTCCCTTTCCAGGGAGAAATGATGAACTTTACAGGTCAGGGGGCAACATATTCTCTCTTGTAAATGTCAAAGTTGTAAATAAAAATGAGAACGGTGGATAAGCTGAAATCTGGAACAGTCTGAGGGTTTGGGAGGCTACAGTGGCTTGCCAAAGGGACAGTACCCCATTGACTCCAGGACACTGGGTTCTTGGAAGCTGGGGAAAGGCAGGAGGAAAAGCTCTCCTTTCTACAGCCTGGGGCAGGCCTTGTACTAGGAGAGCCCATCCTTCTATTCTCTAGATTTTAGTCCAGTTCCATCACATTACAGACTAAGTAACCATCAATTATACTGTGTCCTGGCTTAGGAACAACCCTTACAGATGATGTTGTTTCAAAGGGAAAATGTTCCCAGTTCTAGACAATTGGCATATAGAAGATTTTCTAGAAATGTCTCAGTCGTGAGCTTGGGACAGCATGGAGCTAGAATCAGTTCTTTTTGGAGAGGACAGGCCAAGTATACTATGTCCTAGGTAGTTTGCAGTGAGAAGTCAACCTCACTGAGATGAGTAATACAGGATACTTGGCCAAATTCTCTGACCCAAATTTGGGTTAAGCAATAAATAATAAAATGGCAAGAAAACAAGAGGCGACTAGATGAGAAATGGGAGAGACCGGAGGAGTGCAGAGCCAGACACGCAAGGCCCAGACCCCGGCTGGGAAGCAGCAGCTCACGTTCTTGAACAGCCTGGCTCCCACAGCCCAGAACGCTCCTGAAGGCTTCCTGACCTGAGCTCAGAGAGAGCCACCGCAGGGCCCCCCAACTGTCAGTGGTAAACACAGCCTGCCTAGCCTACTTATTCTCTCCTCCCACTACTCTGCAGTTACCCTGTGGCTTCATTATGGTTTGTCTCTCCCAAAGGGGCATGGACTAAGGAAGGAGTTTCAGTCATATCCTGATGGACCTGAGCACAAGGCAGCACACAAGGGCATACAACACGTGTCTGCTGAACAAACAGGGTTGCTGTGTGAGGATTCAATGGTGGGATAAGTGGGTCACTTATTCAATGAGGATTCAGTGGTGGGATAAGTGGGTCACTTATCTCTCTTCCTACCTCTCTACACACCTACATGTCTACCTACTCATCAGCCTACCTACCAACCTGTGTGTGTCTGATGCAGCCCTTAAGAAACATTAAATGAAGCAAGATAAGAGGACGGCACTGTTCTGAGTCAGCAAGTATTTGCTGAACAACTTGAACACGTCTCAGAGCACAGAAAAACTAGGAGGACAAAACACGGCCTGTTCAGGAGGCATAGCAAGGATCACTACAGATGGCCACAGGCTAAGTACCCATTTAAGAGAGTCTGCAAATGGGTGAAAACAATTAGGTTATTGATAAAATTCTCAAGTCGAAGTTTAGAATATACAGAAAACTAGAACCCACTTAGCCCTCTGCTGACATGGGTTACATGGGGAGAAATGGAGGTGGGAGTGGGGTGGGCAAAATAGAGGACCCTCTGCATCTCCGCCCACAAAGGTGCCCTTTGTGAGATGAATGGGGAAGAAAGCTTTCCCCTAATATGGAGAAGAGGTGGAGCTGGAAAATCACCATTCTGCAGCCATCTCAGGAAGGACTGGTGTGAGCAGAAGCAGTGGAAGCTCAGCCTGAGGGGAAAGCCTGCTTATGGAGCTGGGAGCAGACTTTGCTGGTCTGTAGACTTCAAAACTGTGACTGTCTTGTGAGACCAAGAAAGGGACAGGAAGCATTCCAGACTAGAAGATGAAAGAGACAGCTAAGTAGAGGGTGTGACCCTTGCTTGGGTCACACACATGAGGGGGAATACTACAAAGGACATACTTGGACAACTGACAATGTTTGGAGTTATGGACTGTTAATTCCATAAATATACTACTGACCTGGACGGCATATCCCAAATTGACAATTGCACCATGGTTATGCAAGTCCTTGTTAGGAAACACACTGAAGTATCTAGCTGAAGGGGACACATGTAAATCTACTCTTGAATAGTTCAGGAAAAAATACCTCACACAGGTGATTATGTACTAGAGAGCAGCTGGGAAGGGCATCAGCATCACCTAGGAACTTGCTAGAAATACAAATTCTTGGGTCCTTCCCCAGGCCCCTAAGCCAGCTGTCTGGGGCAGGGGGGCGGGGAGCAGTTGTGTGTTCTAACATGTCTCCCTGGGATGCTGGAAAAATACAACACTGCTATGGAGTGATAAATGTGTTGAAAGCTTAAAACTGTTAAGGCTGGGAAAGGGAAGGTGGGGGAATTTTCTGTATTATTAAAGGAACTTTCCTGTAAGCTTGAAGTGGTTTCAAAACACAAACGAATGACAAAAAGATTCCCCTGGGGTGCTCTAGGTAGAGATGCAGAGAGGAGACCAGAGGCAGGTCGTGGGGTTCTCGCAGTACCTACACCGGGCTTACAGGTGGAGAAGCCTCAACACTCCACGCAGAGCCCAGCGCGGGAGGCTGGCAAGGTGCTGGGACAGGTTGCCATCCTGCAGGAAATGTGGATACCCATGACTCACCTGAGTAGGAGAGCCCAGCGATCTCTAGAAAGAGGTCTTCTTCGGAAAAGCTTTCAGGGAGCATGAGGAAGGCAGCGGTCACAGCGCTTTTCAGATTTCTATCAAGGGCTGACCTCAGCATGATGTTCTCGTTCATGGCTAGGATTTTCACCTGACAAAAGCAGAACCTCAGATGAAAAACCCCAGAAGTGGAGCACTGCTCAAGGTAAGGACTTGCACACGTACTGGGACTGTCCCTAGCTCTGGGAATACTAGGCCAACAGACACACAGTCACTCTAGCAGGCAACCCCAGAGCTTCCTATTTTATGCTCAAGTCAGAGAAACCACACCACAGAAGAAAATACACATACACAAATCTGCTTCTCTCACATGAGGAAACTCACTAGAGGATTTTGGTAAAAGGTCAAAAAGTTCAATAAAAACATGTAATAACACCAACATCTCCTGCACACATGGGGGAGACCCAGCAAAAATGGGTCACTCTGAAAGTCACCACAGGCTTTGTAAGTCAGAATAAATGGTATAACTATCCCTTGGTATTTTAAAATTTTATCATCTCATTGTTCTTCATAAATTTCCTGATGCGCAAGTGGCGTAAGTACTTCTTTCCTTAGAAAGTACTTCTTCCCTAAGGAAAGTACTTTTCTAAGGAAAGAAGTACTTGCCTCTGTTCTTGTCCACACATAACCTGAGGACAGTCTATTTGGAGCTGATTTTGAACTTGGCTAAGAAAGAAGTGAAAATGAGTTGCTATATAGAGAGCATGGGCTTGGGGGAGGGGTCTGGGCTCAACCTGGGTATTTACTAATTGCATGAATTTGGGCAGCTTACCTGTTTAAACTTAAGTCTTCAATCTACAAAATGGGGATAATACATGTGCATCAGTGACAAAGACCGCACAAAATAATAAATGAAAAGTGTGTCATGTACTAGTGAACGCCTTGGTCAATAAAAAGGATATTTCTCATTTGACTTTCCCCCAATCCATTAAAATATGTGCAGAGATTCTTGGTTTCAAAGAAGAACATGTTCAAGTCCCAGCTCCATCTTTTACTGGCTCTGTGACAGTGGGCATATGGTTTGGTGAGATGCTTCCTGTGGATGCTCAGCAGAAGGGAGCCCCTTGCCTGTCCTTCTGGGTGCACAACATGAGTTTCTCTGGGCTGGTGGGTCTCACCATTAAGGACATCAGAACTGCCTGGAGGGCTAACTGACACACATACTATTAAGGCCCACCCCCAAGTTTGTGGACGAGGCCTGAATGCACCTTTCTACAAGGCTGACAGGAACATGGATGCTTTTGATCAGGGACATTTCAAGAACCATGCCACGTCCACAGCAGCCCGATCACTCTTGGGCGTAGTCGAGCCCACATACACACCTGCCATTGTCTTTATACCATCATGATGCTTCTGATTTTCTAAACAAAGAAAAGGTCTAGAAGTCCCTAATGAGGACTGCCATAAATCTGGGATGTATAAACCATTTAGCACTGTGACCAAATGTTCTTCCTATTTTAAAAAACACAGCCTAAGTTGTCTTTATTTGTTAAATAGAGGTAACCTCTCACAAAATTAAGATGGCACATAAAAGACACATACTATGCAAAACACCAAATTAAAATTTTATTAGAAAGCAAGGAAAGAGGACAGTGCTATTCATCCCAAAGTCGTTTCTTTATTTTTAAGATGAATTATAAAAAGCAGTATTATAAAACAACTATTTTATTAATCAGGCTTAAGAAGCTAAATTCTATCTTTAACTCTTCTCCCTACCTTTTTTCTAAGGGAAAACAGATGAACATTCATAAAAGTCTGCAGAGGATTTTGTAACATGCACACCGTGCGTATGGCTTAGGCAAACCACTTGACTAACACTGCCACCTCCTCCCTTGTAATTACAAGGACTTAATAGCGCTCAATTAAGCCTCTCAGTGCCTGGGTGAGTTCGCTATCACTTCGATCATCTGTAGAAAGTAAGTCCAAAAGCAGCCAGGAGCAAGACAGGCCCACGGTTGCATGACTCAGCTGCAAAAATCAGGGTAACACCCTATTCTTGGCAAGTCCAGCTCTCGGTATTTTGAACTATCCTCAAGCATTCAGTTAGGGACCTGTTCTGGTGAACTTCTTACCTTGAAATGTGATTAAGACAAATTTTAAGATCCTATAGAACTTCTGCTTGTTCCTTGAGTAACTTTCCCAAACCTTGTGCCCCATAAGGACTCATGAACCTAGGAGGGCCACCTCCATCTCACTGATGGGGAAACTGAGGCCCAGAGGGTTGAATGATCTCCCCATCAGAGGTGGTGGCCTGGACCAGGCCCCTATTTCCATAACCCATGAAGCCTCTTCACTTCACAGTTCCCACTCTTTATCCTCATCACCAGCTCCTGGCCAATAATCCTTCACCCTCTGGTTTTTCGGCAACTTTTACAGAAACTCAATGGAATTAGAAGCTACTTTAAGCTAACAAATCAAACAGGCAAAGGCCACAGTAAGTCTGGGGAAATTTTCCTATGCAACGATTACCCCTTGTTCTCCAAGAAAGTTATTCTAGTTAAGTGGTGAAAAAGCAATAGTTTGCTATTCAAGAGAGTAAAGAAAATAAAAAGTATCCTTACTCAAAGAAAAATGTCAGAAGACTGTACTGTGCTGATCTGGTTCTCCAGTGTAGGGTGACCTAGGAACTTGTCTCAGCAGCACTGCTATTTGCTGTTCAGAGTGAAAAGCCAGTGAACTCCTGGGACACTGCCAGGGAGGCCTGGGAAAAAAAGAAAGTCCTCAGATTTGTGAATAGCTGTTTGTATCTGACGGGGGTGCCCCGACCTGAACCGCGCAGAGAGCACTCACACTTCTGCCAGGGAGAAAGTCTTTACTGCAGAGGAAGAGGGCAATGCTTGGAGGGGCTTTCAAAAGCCCAACTCAGAGATTTGTGGGTACCTTTCAAGATAGGAAAAAAGGGAAAGTCACATGTGAGCTCCTCCATAATACAGTCACATGGAGACAGGACTTGAATTGCAAAGAGTGGCTGGATCGGCACAAAGAACACAGCACGAACAGAGTCCAAAAACTCGCTACGAACCACATGCCACTTTCCAGAGAAGTTGCCTATTCCAAATGGCTGGAAAGGAGAATTTCTGTAAATGGTCACTGCCTGGGGACGAAGAAGGAGCAGTGAACATTTGAGTTGGATGAGACCTTGTCCGTTATCTACCTGCTGGGCTGTGGGCTCTGCCAGAACTAGCAGTGTGGTGTCTTTTAATTCCTTTGGCGTACACAGAGAAGAAACTTCATTGTCTTTTGAATAAGTAAATGAATGAAAGGCTCAATCTTTGCATTTCAAAGGCTAGAGGCCCAAAGATTTGCTCACAGCTGGGTAGAGCCAAGACTAGTAAGTCAAGTTTTCCGACTCTATGTTAAGGATCTTTTATACTGCTGGTATTTTTCTATGCACAAAAAGAAAATCAATAAAGCCACACTATAGTGATGGTTAAAACTGTGCATAGACTAAAAACCACTGAATTGTACACTTTAAATGGTTGAATTGTAATGTGTGTGAACTGTCTCTATAAAGCTGTTACAAAGCTTTATTATAAGCAAATGAAAGAGAAAATACACTGCAATACATTCAAACCCTCTCAGTAAGGGAGCAAAAATATTGTTGTATGTCAGTGTGAATACCTAAAAGCTTCAGGCAAATTATCTATATAGTAAAAGCAAAATGCAAAAGCACAAGAAAATTAGGGAAATGACTACTAATATTGAGAGTGGTTGTTCTGAATTAAAAAAAGATTAGCCACAAGGTCCTATTAAATACTTCAAGTTTTATGGCTCTTTTCTTGGAATAATGAGTTGGTATAAGACTAAGAACCTTAAGATTGTACTAAATTTTAAAAAATGGGCTGATTAAGCTAATGGTAAAGTATGAAGTTTAGTTACTCACCAGAATTGTCCATCTTTTAAAGCAAGGTACTCCTTTACATTTCTTTTTAAAAATGATTATTAATAAACTTTATTTTTCAGAGCAGTTTTAGATTTACAGCAAAAGTGCACGGACAGCACAGAATGCTCCCATGTAACCCTCTGTATGTCTTTTAAAGACTTAAGTTGCAAGTGATTGGAAAGTCTCTTTTATTTGCAAGGTATTATCTGAAAGGTAATTTAAATTATCTGAAAGGTAATTTCAGAGCTCTAGACAATATAATTTAATATAATTCCTTCCTTTAAAACACATAAAAACAAAGAATTCACACCTCTCAAAATTCTTTCTTAAGGTATTTATTCTTTTGTTTGGTCCAAAATGGTACCAACCCTTTCTTTTCATTTGATTCATTCAAATTTGACTGATATCTGCTGCCACCTAGAGGTAAAAATAGTCTGCTTAAAGATAGGGCTGAGAATTCTCTGGTTAATGATTGGTACCCATGAAGAAACTGGGGCAGGAGTAGGTGGGAGAGTTACTTTCCCCATTTATGACTTTCAATTTGGTTTTTACAGGTATAATGTTCAACCCTTCCAAGTAAATTTCAAGGCATCCTAGTCTTTTTGTGCTAGAAGTTTACAAGCCTGAGGGACAGTCATGTATCAGTAACACTTTCTTCTTCCAAGTTGTCTGAAAAATGAAGTTTTACATGTTATGAGTGCAGCTGCTACTGCTTGTCTTAAATTGCTGTTTTTATTTTATTAGGATATAAGACACTCAGATGAATCTGAGGTCATTTTCAGAGCTTAAATTCTACAATAATGGTGTTTTGGTTTTCTAAAGCCCATTAAAATTTTTTTTTTTTGAAATATCCCAAGCATAATGCATGTACAGAAAATAATATATTTTCACACCCAGTATTCTCATTTTATCTAAAAATAAATCTGAGATAAGCAAGAACAGAGAGAAGAGATAGATTATTTCTTGGGTGTCTCCTAAGCGCATGTAAAGCTGAGCACTTCTCCAGGGCCTGCTGAGGTGGGTGTCACCAGCCTCATCCACAGAGATGCCCCCAGGTTTCAGTCACTGGTGCAGGTCACACAGGTGGCAGGGTCAGAACTGGGAGCCAAACCCTGGGTCCACTGACTCTGAGCCACCTGTGCACCTCTCGGCACTCCAATCTGCTTCTACCTTTCAACACCTCCAGGAAGCAGGCAGGGCAGTGCTGTTATCCCGTTGTAAAGGTCAATTACCTAAGGTCCAGAAAGGTAAAATAAGCTGCTCAAATCTATATCAACAGCTACTAAGTGGCAGGAGTGAACAAGACCTAAGGCTTCTAATTCTATGTTTATTATTCTTTCCCTCAAACTACAAATTTTGGTTGGGGGGGGGGACTTAGAAAATGAGTATTTACTAATTTTGAATTTCGTTTAGTTACCTTTCTAGCTATCCAGTCTAGAAATGAGAAATCCATATACAGAGCTTTGAAATCACTACAGTAAAACCTATTGTCTCTGGGCTTCAAAAAACATGTGTTTATTGAGGTAAAAGTCACACACAGGAAAGCCACAGGCCTGTGGGCTCAATCTGACATGTTTACACGTGTACACTGTGTAACTACCGCCCAGGTCAGGTGTTTCTAGGTGTCTTTAACAAGCAATACCATAAAATTCAAGTCCAGGAAATTCAAGCCCAGGTACAAGGCAAAATGGCACCGACTGCCCACCTAGCCTGACAGGTTTTCATGGCACAACCCCAAGGGCCAAGGTAGGGTAAAATCTCTGAATTTCTGTGTGGTTTTCTATTTAGGCTCTCAAAGGAAACACCTGAAAACAACCCATGTACCTCCCTTACAAGGCCCAAGACCCTCTGGCAGCACAAAGAAAAATTTTTCTTGCTGTGAAATTTAGCAAATGTGATGGTGTCACATGGCTCTTAAACTGTGAAGACCCTTTGCCAGAAAACAGACTACATATCTGCAAAAAAGGAGAAATGTGGTAACTGGAAACACTTCAAAAGCTCAGGTTCTCTCCCACTTTCCCCCGTTTTCTGTCTGTTACAGCCAGGAGATGCCACCCTGGAGCCTTCTCAGCAGTGTCCCAGACCAGGGGGGAGGGGGGAAACAGGATGTCACCAATGGCCCGAGTAGGCTGATGCAGTGATCCTATTCCCTCTGGAACAACTGCCTGGTGATCTATCGAAAAACTACTTGCTGGGTGCTGGCAGTGTACCAGGTGCTGCCCAGGCTCGCCGGGTACCACCAAGGACACGTTGGAGTGCCCACGCACTGACGTTGTTCTCAAAGGAAAGGTGGTCTGGCTGGTGCTGACTGAAGCTCTGCTGGGGTGTGGGCACCCCCTCTGCCATCCTGCCTCCGCCCCAGGAGATCACCTCTCAGCCTGATCCACTCAGACAATGGAAAAACTTCTAAAGTAGGGCAGGGGGAGTGTGGGTAACACCCGAGCTATGTTCAGCCATGTGTTTTGTAGGGAGTAAAAGAGCCTGAAACGCCCTCCTATTTCCTCAAGTTCCATCCCAGTGCAATCACAAAGGTTAAAGTGAGATCAGGTTCAGAGAGGAGAGGCATGCTTGAAGACCCTCACTCACCGGTTTCTGGAGCCGGCCAGCAATATATAAGTTATTCCAGTTGAGGAGATCTTCAATCAAAAGACTAGTACTAATTACCCCATATTTGATAAGCTGGAAAAGAAAAGAAATGGGCCAGTTAAAGGGCAAAGTACCAAAGAGTTGCTTCTGCAAATATAAAACATAAGGAAATAGATTAAATTTCTGTCCTTGATTTCCAAAGTTGCTCAAAATGCATACCTTGTAAAAACACATCTCCCCCCATATACTTCCAGAGGATTAGTGCCCATGACTGCTTTGTGAGGGGACGTGACCACTATTTTAATTCAGGTTCTTGAGATGTAAGAGGCCATGGCCCTTATAGGCCATTAGCACTAATCCTCAGCGAATAGAAATTAGACACTGGTCTTTGCCACAGACAGTCTAAGAAGGGAGGGTGGGCAGCTCCTCAGTTGAAGAATGAGAACCTTGCTCTTAGAGAGAACAAGTGACCTTCCTTCGTGCCCAAGGTGGCATCACCAGTGGCAGAGTGCAATGCAAGTCCCCCTGAATTTCAGCCTGGACTTCCAGGATTTCTCTCATCACAGAATACAAAAATTTTCTTTACTGAAAAGTCTTCAGGAATATTTTACTGAAAAGTCTTCAGGAACAAGGTAGCTTTCTCTCTCTCTCTCCCTTTTTTTTTTTTAGCTTTCTCTCTTATTGTTGATTATCTCAAACACTTTTTTTTTTTTACAGTGAGATTCCCCCAAATAAAACCTTTCTATCAGAGCTGAACACATGGCATTGTGGGCAAGCTCATTTCAACAGTAATATGTGCAAACCCCGAGGCTGCTGTCCCAGGCTGCAAAATTCCATTTGTATCAACAAATACCTTCAGACAGTCTGTGCTGAACTCCAGTTTCCAAATAGCCTTCTCCAGCTGCAAATAGCTAAAAAGTAGCTGAAGAATTTCAATTAAAAAGCACGGTCCCTGTGGCATATAATTATGTCCAAACATTGGGCTACTGGAGCTTGTAATATTGTTTGAAAAGGACTAATTAGAGATAGGCTCAACCTAACATTAATTATGGGGAAAGAAGAAAGCTACGTGTTTGGCATGAAGACATGGCTGAGGGAGGCCGTGCTGCAGAGCCTTCTACCCCATATGGGCCAGTCTTGTAGAAGCCCCTCATGCTGCAGGTACAGAACAGCCAGGAGGTGCTAGAAACAGCACTGGCCTGGAAGACGGGGGCATGTCACTAACTAGCTGCATGACCTCATGGTCCTCATTTCTACCATCTGAACTCCCGTTTCCTCATCTGCAAAGTGCTGGTGGAGCAGGCTGGACCTCAACCAGAAAAGTAAATATATGGCCCCCAAATTACACAGACACAACACATCCATCGCACACCCATTCCTGCTGTGTCTGAAGAGGTCATCAAAATCCTTCTCAAGTCAGGACTCCAAGTCCTGCCCTTCAAGGCATGGCGCTCTGGCCAGCAGCATCAACATCACCTAGGAGCTTGTAAAACATGTAGCATCTCTGGCTCCATCCCAGACCAACTAGATCAGAACTGCATTTCAACAAGGCATTCTATGGACTTATCTGCCTATCAGTTTGGCTGCTCTCAGCCACTAGCAGCACCAAGCAGATGTGCCACAGCTGGTGGACATGTGGTCCTAGTCCAGTTAATCTCTAGGAGGCATATGTCTTAGTTGTCTGGTGGTGCTCTTTGGTTGGGCTCCTGCCTAGATCACAGTAGGCCCTCGGTCTGAGAGTTTGGCAGGGTGCCTGCTGTCAGACATACTTCCGCTGGGGTGCATGCATCTTACTTGCTCAGCAACACTGCCCTACCACTTGGTACCACCTGCTCCCAACTCCCTAAGACATCCTCTTCACTTCCAACTTCTCCCGCAAGTGTCAGTACAGGCAGGTAAGATTCCTCTCCCCCTCAATCCTGAATGGGTCTGTCCATTCCTCCCACTGAACACACCAGTGGTTCTTTTTTTTTTTTTTTTATAGAGGCATGCTTTATTTATTTATTTATTTGTTTGTTTGTTTTGTTTATACATGCACTGGGTACAGTCAGAAGCGCGGGAGGGTGAGAGAATTCACCAGAGCCAGAGCGGGGAGCAGAGCAGGCAGAAGGACCGAAGTACACTGCTGAGGGGAGCAGCGGGCGGCAGGAGAGGTCTGCGCGCCATGTGGGACCCTCCTCCAGTGGCCGGGGAGCAGCCGGGGATCGAACCGGCGCCACAGAGGCTGCGGGCAGCTTCGCAACCCAGCGCTCAACCGCTGCGCCACCGGGGAGGCCCAACACACCAGTGGTTCTTAAAGTATGCTTTTCAGACCAGCAGCAGCACCTGCAACCTTGCTAGAAATGCAGATCTTTGCTGCTTAGACAGTCGATCTTAAAATTTCTCATCACAGCAGAAGAAGATTTGTAACTGGTAGTGATAGATGTGAACTAAATGTACTATAATAACCATCTTGCAATAGTTCATCCAATCATTAAGGTGTACACCTAATTACATGGCAATCAGAGCTAAATTTAAAAAATGAAAGTCCCTCAGCCCCATCCCAGACCTACTGAGTCAGAAACTCTAGGATGGGTTGGGGCGGAGGAGGACAGCAACCTATGTGTCCGGCAGGCATTCCAGGGGGGTTACCAACATTTGATAACCACTAAAGGAGCCACATCTGACCACCTTTAACCAACAGGAGTGTGAATATTTCCTGACTGCAAGAACACACGTTTAGCTGTTTTTCTAGTAACAGAGGTTCTGAGCCACCCGACTTAAGACAAAGGCCCAAAGTCACTTACCTTACCATCACACATGATCAGTGGGTTGTAGTAAACTCCAGCACCATAGTTATTCTGGACAGTTGTGATCATCTTAGGCCCCAACACTTTTAGGAAAGAGTAATGGCTCCAATTTTTCTGCAAGTTCTTTGAATGCCATGCAACAGGGTCATCCACCGAGAACACAAAGTCCAACATGAGGCCCTGCGATGTAAAGAGAGTAGCTTTAGCTCTAAATCCCAGAAAGACACCCACATAGAGGAGAAAGCTGGGGCGTCCTACGCTGCTTTGATGAACAGAAGATCTGGTTTTGCCATCAGAAATTCAAGTCTCTGGAGTTGAACTGAGCTTTGTTTTCATCAATACAAAAAATAACAGTAAATACTTATTTAACAGGTGCTGTTGTGCCAGTCTTCTTCAAAACACTTTCCAGAGGGTATGTACAGTAAAATGGCTTAGCCTACAAGGCAGGGATCCTTATTACTCCAATTTTATAGGAAAAAGAACAGAGTAAGTTTCTAGCCCAAGGACACTAGTGACAGACGCAAGCAATCTGGTTTCCAAGTTCTGTGGCTCAACCTTTGCATAACACCAGCTTTCAGCTAAATGTACTTTACTTTTCATCCAGGTCCAGCAACACCAGATGGGTAACCTCTATAAAGTATCATGGAAAGGGAGGTAAGTTATTTTAACTCTCACCCACTCACCGGCTGCTCCCTGAGCACCTACGAGAACTGGGTGCTGGGACAGAGGTAAGGAGCCCAGGGTGCATTGGGGTAATAGGTAAATGTCACTCAGTGGACTTTAGGAGTGTAAAGACACCAACTTCACTCAGTGGGGTCAGGAGAACAGAAAGGAGAAAATTCCCCATGAAATTACTTTCTTCAAGATTCTGATAAATCTGTGTCTCGAAAAATGTTTAAGAGTTAATTAGGCAGGCTGGGTGGAAGCATGAGAAGCTCCAGAAGGGGCAGTTCCCTCAGAGGAGAATGCTTCTGTGGATATGGGCAGCAGGTGCTGCATTTCCTTTGAGTGGCTGCATTAGAACACGGGTGGGGGCGTGGTGGGAGAAGAGACAGAGGCTGCCTGGCTGCCATGCTAAGAAACGTTCCTGCCTAAGAGCTCCTTGAGGGGAGGAACAACCGAGAGCAGGGACATCTCACAAGAGTATAGTTGCAAGATTCCAGGTGGGAAATGCTCACTGCAGGCACTAAAGATAGACCCCGATTTCAGAGGCTTAGGTGTCAGACTCCAGACTGACTTGTTAACCTGTAGGGACTCAGGATGAGGGAAAGGGCAGGGGAGGGGGGCCCTTTTCCTGGAGGCAATTCCAGTTTTGGAAACAAGAGGTGGCTCTGGAACCAGGCCTGCTGCGTGTCCCGCCACGTGCTCTGCACACCACTGGTGACAACTGAACATTGGCGGGAGGAGGGCGGGCATGTCTTTTCAAAACGTGTCATTAACCCCTTAACAGCTAACACACCTTAATGCACGCCAGAGAGCAGCCTGCGGTCACCCATCACCTGTGACTCCTCCTGGGAGCCGGCCCCTGCCCTTAGCTGGCCAGGGCGCCGCGCGCGCGGAGCGGCAGGCGGCCCCGGGGCCCGGCGAGGCGGGGGGACCTCGCGGGCAGGCCGGGCGCGGGCGGGGCCGGCCCGGGGGCCGCGGGGAGGGCCGGTCTCACCTTCTGGCCTGAACTGGGCCCCGCCTGGCGGTACACCCCCGAGCCGTAGGCGAAAGCCAGGCTCAGCTCCTCGGGGAAGTGGGACAGGATCTTGCGGAGGGCCACCCCCGAGCTCTGCAGCGCCATGGGGCTGGCGCGGGGGCCGCGGCGGGGCGCGGCGGGCCTGGCGGGAGCGTGCTGGGGCCGGGGGGCTGCAGGGACCGGCCGGCCTCCGCGGCGCGGGGCGCAGGGTCGGGGGCGGCGGTCGCGCCGGCGGAGCCGTCACCGCAGGCCGCGCCCCCCGCACGCAGGAGCGCGTCAAGGCGCGAGAGAAAGCGCCCTCCAGGCAACGAGGGGCAGCGCGGGCTGCTCAGCGCCCCCTGGTGGCGGGAGGAGCGCGTTGCAAGCTGCCGCCTGGCCCGGGCTGGAATAGAGGGGACTTGGAAGAGGGGCGCAGCTGCCTTTGAGCCGGAAGAATTTTTTTGTGCTCGCCACAACCCACACTTTTTAAAAAATATATTTTATTTTATATCATTCTTACATCATTTTTCATTTTTGCACAATGTATGCATTTTTATTTTGGTTATATTCCCCATACAATTGCGCCCCCCTTATTTTGACCCTTATCTTTCCTCTCCCTGCCCGCCCCCCACAGTGTGTCTCTGGTTTATAATTGCTTGTTGGTTTTGGTTTTTTTCTTTATTATAGTTAGTCTTTTTCCTGGTCCCTTATTTAAGTTTTCTAGATTCCTGCTATGAGCGAGACCATCCGGTATTTTTCTTTTTCTTTCTGGCTTATTTCGCTGAGCATGATCCCTTCCAGCGCCATCCATGTTGCTGCAAATTGCATGACTTTATCTTTTTTTTTTTTTCTCCTTATCAGTAAAAGCTTTATTTTTTATTTTAAAAAATATTTTATTTTATATAATTCTTACATCATTTTTCATTTTTGCACAATGTATGCATTTTCATTTTGGCTATATTCCCCATACAATTGCACCCCCCTTATTTTGACCCTAATCCTTCCTCTCCCCGCCCGCCCCCCCCCCCAGTGTGTCTCTGGTTTATAGTTGCTTGTTGATTTTGATTTTTACTTTGTATTTATTAGTCTTTTTCCTGGTCCCTTATTTAGGTTTTCTAAATTCCTGCTATGGGTGAGACCATCTGGTTTTTTTTTTTTACTTTCTGACTTATTTCGCATGATCCTTTCCAGCTCCATCCATGTTGCTGCAAACTGCATGTGTTTATCTTTTTTGATTGCTGAGTAATATTCCATTGTGTATATGTACCACATCTTCTTGATCCAGTCATTTATTTTTGGGCATTTTGGTTGTTTCCATAGCTTAGGTATTGTAAATAGTGCTGCTACAAACATAGTGGTGCAGGTGCCCTTTGGAATTAATGTTTCTGTGTCCTTTGGGTAAATACCTAGGAGTGGAATTGCTGGATCATATGGAAGCTCTATCTTTAGCAGGTTGAGGAATCTCCACACAGCTTTCTATAGTGATTGGACCATTTTGCACTCCCACCAGCAGTGCAGGAGAGTTCCTTTTTCTCCACACCCTCGCCAGTATTTGTTGTTGCTAGCTTTTTTAATGTGTGCCATTCTCACTGGTGAGAGATGGTAGCTTATTGTAGTTTTGATTTGCATTTCCTGATTACAAGTGATGTTGAACATTTTTTCATATGTCTGTTGTCCATTTGCATTTCCTCTTTGGAAAAGTTTCTTTTTAGCTCATCTGCCCATTTTTTGACTGGATTATTTTCTTTGTTTTTGTTGCGTCTCATGAGCTCTTTGTAGATTTTTGCGATCAGTCCTTTATCATTAATACAACTCACACTTTATTATTTTTTTTTAAAGATTTATTTATTTATTTATACAAGCACTGGGTACAGTCAGAAGCGCGGGAGGGTGAGAGAATTCACCAGAGCCAGAGCAGAGAGCAGAACAGGCAGACTGTCGAAATACACTGCTGAGGGGAGCAGCAGGCGGCAGGAGAGATCTGCATGCCATGTGGGACCCTCGCCCAGTGGCTGGGGATTGAACCGGCTCTTCAGAGGCTGCCGACAGCTTCGCAACCCAGCACTCAACCGCTGTGCCACCGGAGAGGCCCACAACCCACACTTTAATAAGTGACTCTAAGATGTATCGCAGATGTGTAATGGACACCTCTTGGGAGGTGTCTCTCCCCTCAGTTTTTCCTCCCCCCAAGGATTTAATGATTCACACCTGAGGGACAAGTCAGTGGCATTTTTTCACGACATTGTACAGGTGTCATCTCCATTCAGCTCCAAAACTGCAGAAGATGTGAAAGGTTAGAAACAAAAAAATTAACATCTCCCAGAGACGATCAGTTGGGATTGGACTGATTTCTTCCATGAAAGTTCCTTTCAAATATGATGACAGGAGGGCCTCCCCGGTGGCGCAGCGGTTGAGCGCTGGGTTGCGAAGCTGCCCGCAGCCTCTGCGGCACCGGTTCGATCCCCGGCTGCTCCCCGGCCACCAGAGGAGGGTCCCACATGGCGCGCAGACCTCTCCTGCCGCCCGCTGCTCCCCTCAGCAGTGTACTTCGGTCCTTCTGCCTGTTCTGCTCCCCGCTCTGGCTCTGGTGAATTCTCTCACCCTCCCACGCTTCTGACTGTACCCAGTGCATGTGTAAACGAAACAAAACGAACAAACAAACAAATAAATAAATAAAAAACATGCCTCTATTAAAAAAAAAAAAAAAAAAAAAAAACAAATATGATGACAGGAGAGTGGTGGAGTTACACCGATGTCCTCTGATATTTGTGTTTCATTTGAAGCCTCTTTGCTTTCTAGCGATTCTGGCTCTCAAAGGCGCATTAAATGCAGTTTGGGAGACCAGGAGACCCAGAGTGAGGGCTCATCTATGTGGAAATGGTGACGATTGATCAAGATCACAGGACCTTTGGGATGTAGTTTGGTTTCCAGGGTGGACATTTTCAGAAAATTTCAGACACTTTTCCTCTTCCCCAACCTACACTGCCTCTCAAAAATGGAAAGCAGAAGCTGTTGCCTCCATTTTATAGATGAGGAAGACAAGGTTTAGAGAGACAAAAGCCATAGCTTAGGATCCTACCAGCCTGTGGAAAAATGGAGTTGAAACCCAGGTCTGGTTTCACATTCTGCCATTCTACTCTTTCTTAGAAGGGTTTTGAGCTAGGACTTAAGTGTGAACCTGGGTTGAAGTGGGCAAAGAGGTGGAGAGACCACTTAAGAAGCTGTTACCATAGTTTCACAGAACTAAAGACTGATTCAATTTGAATAATGATTATTTGAATTCAAACTCTGGGCCTGGTACTGAGGTGAGTGCTAAAGATCCAAGACAACCAGATCAGGGGATGCCCTGAAGGAGCTCAGGGGCAACAGAGGAAACAGACAACCAAACCAGAATAAAATGCTTAAGGTGAAGCTGGGGACCCAGGGCCTGGCAGGGCCTCTGGCGGGGAGTGTTTATCAGTTTTGGGTGTTTGGGGACAGACCAGGTAGCATCTGAGCCTTGAAGGATGGGCTGGACTGAGATAGATGAGAGATATTCTACCAATTGATAAGATAGGGTGACAATAAAAATAGGTGACATGTATCAGTTTATTGTTCTCAAGTCCTTTTCAATACGTACTTCTTTCCATCATCCCAAAATCCCCATGAGGCAGGTTCTTTAAGATTCATGATCATTTTTAAAGATTTATTTTTACTTATTTATACATACAAGAACTGGAGTATAGGCCAGAGGTGTGGGGGCTGAGAGGATTCAGAGACAGAGTGGGGAGCAGAACAGGTGGATCTACTGAAATACACTGCTGAGGGGAGCAGCGGGGAGACAGGAGTGGTCTGCTGAGCTATGTGAGTCAACTCCCTGGCCTGGGATCAAACTGATGCCGCAGTAGCTGGCAGTAGTTTGAGATTTAACCCCTGTACCACCAGGGAGGCCTGATTTATAATCATTTTTCATATGAAGAAACAGAAGAAAAGGAGGAGCAGATTTCCCAAATCATACAGTTAGGCGAATGGTGAAATTTCAAACTCCAAAGGCCAAGGTCTTGGCCTGGATTTGAGACCCTTCTAAGATGGGTATGACGTGAGAGAGGAAAAGAGGGAGCCAGCTGCGTCAGCGCCATCGTCCGAGGTTGAGGATCGGTGTGGCAGGAGCCCAGGGGACAATCAGACCAGAGGAAGGGCAGCGGGAGGGAGTCACAGCACAGGCTAGTCCCCTATGTGAGCACAAGCAATCATTTTGGTTCATTCTGTCACCCTTGCCCCAATTGCCAAATCTAAAACGCACCCACTGCAGAATTACACTGAAACCTTTCACCTAACAGTGATTAAGTCTCCACTGGAAGTGTTTCTTTTTCTTCCTTCTTTTCTTCAGGAAATTATTCAACTTCATTTTGTTTTGCTCCCTCTCTGTAAAAGTAATCCAGGCTTGCAAAAAATGTAAACATTACAAAAGTGCATATATATACTATCCCCCAGAGAAAGCTAATGGTAATCTTTGAATCATATCCCTCCAGACAGTTTTCTATGAAGATATTGACATTAAAAACATTTTTTTTAAGATTTATTTTTATTTATTCATACAAGCACTGGGTACAGTCAGAAACGCGGGAGGGTGAGAGAATTCACCAGAGCCAGAGTGGGGAGCAGAGCAGGCAGACTGAAGTACACTGCTGAGGGGAGCAGCGGGCGGCAGGAGAGGTCTGCGCGCCATGTGGGACCCTCGCCCGGCGGCCAGGGATTGAACTGGCGCTGCAGAGGCTGCGGGCAGCTTCGCAACCCAGCGCTCAACCGCTGCGCCACCGGGGAGGCCCTAAAAACATTTTTAAATAGATCACATGATATATAGTATTTTGCAACTTACTTTGTTCACTTACCTTTGCTCACATATTTGGGTAATCTTTCAGGGTTAGGATTAAGAGATCTATTTCATTCCATTTAATAGCCACACATTTTTCTAAGCTATGGATGTACCATATTTAAACATTTTGTACCATATTTAAACATTTTCATATTGATGGATAGCAACGATCTCCCTTAGCATTATCACCTGATGCTGTAGTGAACATTCTTATAAATAGACGTTTGCATCTGTGCCCGAGTATTACCATGAAGCATCATCCTAGGAACAGGCTATCAGCAATGTCAGC